TTTTATCTTTTGATCCCTTTGTAGTCGTGAAACAGTGTAATAGCGTACTAGTAGCAATGGGAGATTATGCGGACTCGAGTATAGACCTCGCTTACGGTACAACTGGTGAATGCGCACGTGCACTGGGATTTGAGTCCGAATAACCTCCAGCCGCTGTTCGGACTCAAGTCCGAATAGCCACTTCGAATTATGAATGTAAGTTAGATCTAAATCTTCTTCTAAACTGTCCTTAGCTGAACAATAGGCCCTAGTTTTTAAAATATGGCAAAAACAATGTGTGGTAAAGAGTTAGATCTGGTAGGCTTTTTTTAAAAGTAAGGGTCTAGCTTTTTAGCAAAATTGCAGTACGGTACTTTTCTATTAAATTTTATTTTTAACAAAACTAATGTTATGATCTTGCCAATCACACCTTTCATCAATAGGCCTATAGGCCTACTTTAAAACTTTGTTGATGTGACTCAATAGATTTCAATATTATCAATAGGCCTACATATTAATGAGCGGTGTAGCTGATCAGGTAGGCACGACGACTCGCACAGCCCCAACCATCCCCCAAAAATAGTGATTTGCGATTGCCATGACAATGGGTGTTTGATGTTTGCATGTGTGTTACGAAATGACCGTCTCCATTCAACCTTGTGGGTTTGGGGTGTGACGAGATGACTGACGTTTTGACTGCACTGGTGTGACAGAATGACCATGCATGTGACGAAATGACTGGTATTCTTTAGTTCAGTAGTTCAGTTTCAGACTCGGAGGGCTAGACTCCAGATCTAGATCTAGATGTATCTAGATCGTCGTAATGTAAAAAATGTTAAAACAATTCAAATAAGTTGAGGGTTAGCTCGGGTTAGGTCTATTAATGTATTGATGTTATTATGGGGGAGGGTTGGTAAGCAATTTGAATTGATATTTCTTAGATGTTAGATCTAGATCTAGGCGTATTTGTGACTTGTCTTGGTTCTGAAATGTTTAATAGTTTTTATTCAAACTATGACCTTGCTATTATCATTAGGCATAGGCCTACTCTCAGTTTTATTGTGTAGTATCCGGTAATATTTCAAGCAGTAAAGAAAAGTTTGGGCGTTTTTTTTTTTAGGGGGTAGGGCATGCCTCCTCTAAGGTTAAATAATTCGAAGAGGGTTTCGTGGGGGGGAGGGGGGGGGGGGGTCTCTTGTCCCCCAGTATTTCTCATAATTTCATGATGTTTGGTAAAAAATTATGTTTGAAATTTGAAATTTTTGTGAAAAATAGATGTGATAGTTTTAGTGGTCATCATGTGTGTTTTAGAGTGAAAAATACACTAGTTTGACCATCTAAAGAAGTACTTCTGAGTGCGGGAATGAAAGTAAAAATTTACTGTATTTTTATACCCTAAAAAAAGGCTTGCATTCTGGTGTTTTGACATAACTCCAGATTGAGCCATAATCATTACTTGAAAATGAAAAAAAACCCCAACCCAAACCCCTAGAAAGTCAGTGCAACTTTCACCTCTGCTTGCTTTCACCTCTGTCTGTCATTGTGTGAATTTTTTTAGGGGTGGGAATGTCCAATTTATAATTATTTAGACCATCATATATTTCTTCAAAACCTCAAGAAGTAAAATATACTGACGGTCATTAAAAACGCACCACTTACAAAACAATTCAAATAATGGTGATGTGTTTATTTTTTAAAACAGATTGTATACTATTGCATTCTATGGTCATTTTATGAATATTCACAGCTGGAATGAAATTAAAAGGTCAAATGACACCGCGAGGATGAAAACGTGAAGTAACAAAAGTCATTTTTCAAAAATCAGAGCTTTAAATTGAGTTTTTATCACCTGCTTTAGTATCGTGTATGTCCTCCATTGGCCTGAATACAATGTACAGGATTGGTAGCGTCTTCTCATGGAATTGACAAGAGTCTGAATGAACACCTGTGAAATCTGTACCCACTCATTTGTCAAAGAACGCCTCAGCTCTTGGAGATTGTGTAGAGGTCTTCCACGGGACAAACGACGGCCAAGCTCGTCCGACACCTGCTCAATTGGTGCCATGTCTGGAAACAGTGATGGCCAAGCCAGGACATCAATGTTGTTTGCCTGCAGAAAACCAGTGGTGGCTCGAGTGGTGAGGGGGAGGGCGTTGTCGTGTTGGAATAACTGCAGCTGTGGGTGTTGACTAAATAACGCAAGACGTGGTTCTTTAAAACCTGCTGGTACATGGTAGCATTCACAGGCTGGTCGAAGAAGTACAGTGGTGTCCGATAATCGTAGCTGGACGCTCCCCATACCATGACGCTGCCTCCTCCCCATCTATCGACCTCCAGCATGCAAAAGTTGGCATAGCACTCACCGAGGCGTCTCCAGACCCTTTTTCTCCTGTCAGCATGCGAGAGGGCAAATCGACTCTCTTCAACTGTAAATGCTGCCTGGCCTACTGCAAACGTTGTTGACAGTTCCTCTGTGTCAGGACAGGACCAACGTACAGGCGTCTTGCTGCAAGTCCTGCTTCCCGCAAACGGCGTCGCTCGGCCCATTCAGATACTGGTCCACGCCGACCAACCACTTGACGACCTGTTTCCGGTGCTGGCAGGAAACGGTCACGAAGGTGACGTTGGTGAATGTAATGGTCTTGTGCTGGTATTGTAACTTGGGGTTGGCCGCTCCGTCGCCGATCTGCTTAGGATCCAGTAGCTGGATTTTCTTGAGACACCGGATAACAGTCGAGTGGCTACAGTTCATGCGCCTGGCAACTTGCCGTGCTGCCATTCCGGCTTGGGGCATTCCAATTGCCCTTTCACATTCTTTCATGGAAAGTCGCGGCATTATTTATGCAGAAAAAATCCGTCGCACAGAGTAAAGAATGTCAGTTTTTGTTATGAGCGAATATAATCTCTCCCTTACAGCCAAAAAGTCTGTCTTGCTAAGCAAATTTTAGGTTTGAGGTCGACACATCGGATTTTTGCATTGACAGGTTTGAATTGGGAACTTCAAATTTTGTTCGATCGGTAACCTCTGTTGCCCGTGAACATTTGTCAACCTCAATTGATGTCACCGGATAGATTTTAGTCCAAAATGTGCTCAATCCAAAATGGTGCGTTTTTAATGACCGTCAGTATATTATGCAAGAAGATTGAACAATGCATTTGCTGATTTTAAGTCACACAGCCAGCAATACAAAATACTTCATCTGGTGACTCGGCCAGGAGAGTGACTGCAATGGACTTCTTGGGCCTGTTTCAGAACTGCGCCAACTGATCGGAACGGGTAATTTTCGCCATCACATTGTTGCGGCAAGTGAACGCAAATTCTTACGACAGTATCTTGATAATGCCATTATCTTTGCTTAGTTATTGTGAAATTATTGTGAAATAAAAAACAAATCGTCTGATACCATTAAATAATTTTATTAATCTGTTTGTGTATTAGAGATTTGGGTCCAGGACCCAGGTTTTCATGTTTAATTCAATTTTATTCTGCAGGTACTCAAAAAATCTTCGTCCGTACGTGGGGCTGTTCCCACAACAATTCTGACAGTGAATATATGGCTGGACAGTTGGCTGCGTATGGCTACAAGATAACAGGTAGAATGATGCTTGTATCAATAATTTGAAAATATAGATGGCATAATGATGTCTTTGCAGTTTTCAATTATTTTATTAGATTCTGTTGTCATGGACCTTGCCACTTTCAGAAGCATGCGTGTCAAGAAAGTTTTTTAGTTTAGAGGTTCTATTTTATGTTGATAACATTATAGTATAAGTTTTCCTTCTTTCACTTTCTTACTTCTTCATTTTATTCTTTTTAATGAATGAATTTTTATTTTGTTTAATAATGAAAGATTTCTTGCTATTGTTAGTGGTCATGTCTCTAAAACACATCTTCTGATCATATTTTGTGGGACTTTATTTATACCTTCTCTTGGCTTGTTCAGGTATCTATTGAACTAACATTTTTTTCTGTTCTGTTCTTTTTTCTTTTTTTCCCTACAAATACATTATCCAGAGGATAAAGAGAATGCTGATTTGTGGCTGTTGAACAGTTGCACTGTCAAAAACCCAGCAGAGGATCATTTCAGGAATCACATAAAAGATGCGACATCGAAAGGAAAGTCGATTGTACTTGCAGGATGTGTTCCCCAAGGACAGCAAAAAGCTGATTATATTCAGGTACAGTGACCAACTTTAATCATTGCTTCTGTTCTATGTTATGTAGCAGTAAGTTACTACAGACTTGAGATTACTCTGCGAAGTTTAGGTTTCATTTGCTACAAGTCTTTTTTTCGGGTCTGGATGACTTAAAATTGCAGGATTTTAGTTTTCCAAATAAAAAAGTCCACATAGTTGTGATGAATGTGATTAATAGGTTTATATGCAATTTGTTTTTTACTAATGAATTGCTTGAAATCTTTTACTTTACGTTTCTTGTGATAGTGCATATTAAAATCTTTGTTAGATAGAGACTTTCATTAATATTTTTTGATTTGGCTTAGCTGAGAAGAGACTGGCAGCTATGGAGGTTTTCTGCCTTCAACAACTCTTTCTCTGCAACTTTCAGATATATCGATTAAAAAATACTTTTTGGTATACTTTTTTATTCATGATGTAAATTTGATTTTTAAAAAAAAATGTGTTTTTACAAATTTCAGCAACACACTAATCAATCTGTGACACTAAGTCAAGTTGTGTAAAAGAAGATAGAAAAGATTATTAGACAAATAATAATTCCGTTTGGTGTGTTAATGAGTTAGGGTGTTTTTGCAGTTTTTGCAGACTGATGGCTCTGTATGTTTAACATTGATGCCCTTTTTAAAAAAATGGAGATGTAGTGTGCCACTGTTGGCATTTCTATGCACTTGTTCTTCTCACCCATTCTTTGATTGGTATTGTCCACTATTGATATCATGGAGATGAAATTTTATTTTTTGAGTCTGAACATGACCTGAGGTGTAAGCAAAAACATTGTGTGGTTCTGTTTCAGGGTCTCAGTGTGATAGGAGTTCAACAGATTGACAGAGTGGTTGAAGTTGTGGAAGAAACTCTGAAAGGTTAGTCAGTGAACTCGTTTGCCTGATGTAAACTGTGGTGCAATGCGCAGAAGGAAAAGCTTTGTATTGTTGTACAAAAGTGAGAATTAAAATTTTTTTTTTTTATAGGTGTGAAAGATATTCACCTGTACCTGCCATGGTTTGAGTATTACAAGACCATATATCAAATGCCCATGATAAGTAAAGAGGATCTTCTTGGACTTTTGAATTGACAAATAAAATGATGTGCTAAGTTTTATTTTCATTCTTTGTGAATTTTGGGTATATATCAGAAATGTCACCAGAGTTTGATAAAAATGCCAGAACTTTTTGCAGCGTAGCGGTAGACAGTGATTTAGAGGGAAAGGTTACAAAAAGCCTGATAGTTACATGTATCTACAGGTACAAGCAAAGGACACAAGACCACAGTCAAACAATGATAAGAAATGTACTTCCATAACTGATTTTAGAGTTGCAAGATGTATACCAAACAGCACCAGCTTCTTTCAACTTGCGTACATAATCCAATAAAAAATCGCGTTGACGTCTTTTTTCTCCAACCGCTACCAGCTAAATTTTCACTGTTTTGTTGATCTCCGTCACACTCTGACGTCCATTTTGATCCTCAAACTTCAACTCCATCTCAAAAGTCGCTTGCTGCACAAACTACTTGATCTAGATCTAGATCTAAGACTAGTACGCAGAAAAGTCGCAAATGATATAAGGTATCGGGTGAAAAAACATTGTGTGAAAACTGTAATGACACACAGACGACAAAGGGTAGTACTCGACACACTTTGCTTCGACGATCACAAGGAAGAGACAGAAAGCTTTCCACGCTGAAACTGAAACTTCCTTCGCCAACTTTGTTTTGAAAAAAGCACCTTGCCTTTCCGATAATGATGCATGCGTACTTGGTCATGGCTAAAGGCTTTGCTACTAAAACTTCTCTCTTTGCCTGGAGACTTCCTGTAACGTTTTCGGTACTGCTTTGCTCTTTTCGGGTCTGGCAAAAATAATTTTCCCAATTTCGATTTGCGGCATGAACTCGGCTCTCTTCAGGCATGACTTCGACTCAGATGCTGAGATTTTGCCAGCAGTTTATTAAATACCGGATTTTCCGGCATTTTCGGGAAAAGTTACATTTCTGATGATATAATATCTCTTTTGAAATTGGGAATCAAGGCTGCAGTAAGAAACATAAGCAGCTGAAATTATTTTTCCTGCACCATTAATATAGTGTCCTTTGTAGTTGCTCAAATTTCTTGCACCAGGAACAATATTTAAACTTAGTATGGTGTTATCAAACTCATGTAAAAACAACACAGATTTGTGAAAAATTCAAATATTTTTTGCTTGATTTTTTCATTCTCTCAATGGATACTTTGTCTATTTTGAAGGGAACTCTGTGCGCTTGTTTAGTCAGAAGAAATCGTCAGGCAAGAAACAAGGTGGAGCATCGTTGAGCCTACCAAAGATCCGGAAGAATCCATTGATTGAAATAATTGCAATTAATACTGGGTAAGTTATTCAGGTTATAATATAGAATGATAGAACAGGTTATAATGTAGAATGATAGAACAGGTTATAATGTAGAATGATAGAAATGCAGTTTGTACACATTCATCACATTATATGAGGATGGCGAAAATCTTAGCTTTGCGATATTGATCTTTATTCCTTTAGAGGTACTTCTAGGTCAGTACATGTCAGATTTTCAACAGATATGATTTTGCTTTTTGTTCCGCTTTCAGGAACGGTCCTTTTTTTGAAGTGTTATTGCAAACACTTTCAATCTAACATGTCAGCTGATTGTGACATCATCTTAAAGACAATCTATGGCATAATTTCAAAGCTTTGCGTTTCTGGAAATTAAAAAAAAAAGTTCATAGTTCCAATTGTCCAGTTGTTTTTATTAGCAACGTTATATTTAGTCACACTTTGTTAAATTTCTAAAAGTTTCAAGTGTTCAGATAAATCTATGGTTTGTAGATAAAGCTTTAGTGTCCAAAAGTAAGATACCAGTTCAGTCAACCAGCAAGATATAGACCTAGGAATGCCGTAAGAAAGTGGGTGTTGTTTATATCATGAAGAACAGTACATCATATGCGTCTGTGCTTTCGCTATGTATTTTCTGGTAAGCGAGTGATATGTTGAGTTTGATTTTTCCACTGAATATCAGATGCCTGAACCAGTGTACTTATTGCAAGACGAAACATGCGCGGGGTGACCTAGGCAGCTACCCACCAGAGGACATTGTGGAGAGGGCCAGGCAGTCTTTTTCAGGTTTGTACCCTCCTCCAAGGCTCTGGGACAAGATTTCTATTTTACTAAGATGTGAAGTGAACTGAGGTACTAGTTTGTGTCAGAACCCGGTGGAATCGGGCTCTCGTTAATTTTGGGACATGTAGAGTTATTGGTATCATCTTAAAGCTTGTTCATTTGTCTTACTTTATCTGAAAAAAAAATCCTTTTATTTGAATAGAAGTTGAGATATTTGTGATTGAAGGAGGTGGGGTCACCGGGTTCAGAGGTAAGGTAAGCGAGAAAAGGGCTGCCAAAGTTTGGTGATTTCCATAGCTTGAGAGTCCTTGAAAACTGAAAATTTACAGTTTTTGTCCCTTTAATCAACTTTTTTAGGTAAAATCCACACAGAAATATGTTTTTAATTTTTAAATGGACATAAAGGATTTTGAGCCAAAAATAACAAATTCTATAAAAATTGCCAAACTCGCAGAAAAATGCCGGTTTCTTTGATTTCAGTATTTTGACGTGCACCTGATTTCACCACAATGCCCCACATATGTGAGGCATCATGGTGAAGTTGGGTGCTTGTCAAAATAAACAGAATTGGAGAAACAGGCATTTTCCCACCAGTTTTGCAATTTTAATCAAATTTTTGTTTTTTTGTTCAACCCTTTTATGTCCAAATAAAAACACATTTCCATGTGAATTATACTGAAAAACCTTGATTAAAAGCTCAAAATATGTAATTTTTCAGTTTTCAAGGACTCTTTAGCTATTGAAGTTACCAAACTTTGGCGGCAATTTTCTCGCTATTTTAACCGCTGAAACCAAGTGAACTTACCTCTTTCAGTTGCGAATATCTTCACTTCTGCTCATGATTGGCATTTTTTTCATCAAAAGCAAGATAAATGTACAAGCTTTATGATGATGCCAATAACTCCACATGCACAAAAATTGACGAGCGCCTGATTCCACTGCATCGTGACACATTTCTAAGATGTGAAGTGAACTGAGGTACTAGATGTCTTTTCAGGGCCAGTGATTTATTTCTTATTTCTTATTTTTTTTCTTCTACCTCCCGATGAATTTACTGTTCGCAACCTTTACTGTATTGGCATTAAAAACAAATTTTGTTTTCTCCTTGTTAACTTGGATTTAGTTGGTAAAAATATAATAAACAGCATTGTGTGAGTCACAGGACGCAGTGAATTTCTAGAGATACCAGTGTCATGAGGAAAGGTTATTAGTGGGTGGTTGGCGGGTGATGTGGTGTGGTTTGCTCCTTCTTTCCAATAAAAAATCTATCATCTCTATCTTTCCTCCTTTTTTGTGGTTGTTACTCTCTTGTAACGCCTCTAATCTTCAGCACTTATAATATGACCTCTTGCAAGAAAAAAGTACGACAAATATGCGAAATTCATAACTTGCACTCAAAGATAAACGGGGGGCTCTCGTGGCTAGAGGTTAATCTGTTGAGAGTAATATGCTACAATTGTTGATCAAGAAACATAATTTTTTCTCTCTTTCAGAGGGAGTGGTAGAACTGTGGCTGACCTCAGAAGACCTGGGGGCCTATGGCCATGACATTGGTGTCACCCTTCCCGAGTTGCTATGGCGACTTGTGGAGGTCATTCCAGACGGGGCCATGATGCGGCTGGGGATGACAAACCCTCCTTATATTCTGGAGCACCTTGAGGTGAGGAGATGCTGCAGGAGTCCACGTTTTTCCAACAATTTTTTTTGGGTAGCCAAAGCAGTATTTATTTAATATTTTGGCTGTATTTTTCTCCTAGCTACAGCAAAGTTCGTTGCTGGTTTTTACTTTTTTTTCATAGTCACACTTCTCAGAGACTTCTGTATTAATTTGAATGGTTGCAAAACATCTCCTTAGTGTGCATAATATGATTGCTTGTAAGCACAAGGGGGCTATCCCGAAAAATGCTGTTTTGAGAAAATCGAGGGTAAAGTTTTTGCCCCAAGTTCAGTTTCTTTAACACACAAGAAGAGTTTTCTCTACAACCAAACAAATATACACATCAATGAAACCAAACATTCCCTATAGGTAAGGCAATGCCCACTTTTGGTGTAGTCAAGATTTCTGGAAACCCCCGAAATCTGGGTTAGCCTTATTGTTCTGAAAAGCGACCAATTTGACTTTGCAGAAATTTTTCATTGTCACAAGAGAATTTCTCTTCTTTGCAGTTTTATTTATTTATTT